CCCCTTCTTTCTAACCATAGAATGTATGCTATTTCGAAGATTTGGGAACCCTTGTTTGAATCTTGGATGTATTAGATTTGGGGAACCCTTGTTATATTAGAATGTTGCATGTATTAGAATCTTGCATGTATTAGATACCTAATTTTGCAGCCCTAGTTTAGTATATTTTATTGAAAAGATATGGTTTGGATACATAGGTTGACATGTTATTTTATATGGAAAAGAGATTTGTATTTAATCTTGCATGAAGTAGGCCTAGTTTAGTTTATTTGTGTTGAAATTATATTTGTATTGACAAGAATGCTTTGGATACATATGCTTTGAATTTTGCATCTAGTAAGCATACTTTAGTTTATTTGTATTCAAAAGATAATTGTGTTGACAAGAAAGTTTTTTTTTCAAATTGTTAGGATGGTTTGGCTTCTCGATGATCACTGGGACAAACAACACCGGTCGTACGCTATGTTGGTGGAGCAGCGGGTAATAATGAAAGTTGCCGGTGTTATGAATTTCATGTTTATTTCAAACACAAATGCCCATATGTAATGATTTGTTTGTTTGTTTGTAGGAGCTTGCACCTCTGAAGCTTCGGTCTCATGGGGTCACCCTTGGGTGGATGCGTTATGATGAGCGGTACACACCGTATCTAAGGGAGACAGGACTTCTCCCTTTCATTCAGTTGGTTAGCCGGTCGACGCCACCCAACAATGCCGCATCACTCACCGCGCTTATTGATCATTGGAGGCCGGAGACACACACTTTCCATCTTCGGACCGGGGAGATGACCGTGACGCTCCAGGATATGGCTATGATCACCGGTCTTCCTATCGATGGGAATCCTTTATGTATGAACACCGATTCTGATGGGTGGCACGCGCAGATGCATGCCCTTATCGGTATGGTTCCTCCGGAGCCTCGGGAACCAAAAGCAGAAGACAAGAAGAAGGAAAGAGTCGCAACCGGTGCTCCTTTCACGTGGATTCCATCGAACTTTGGTACTTGCCCTGAGGATGCTAATGAGGACATGGTGAAGACATATGCTCGTGTCTACATGTGGTACGTGATATCCAGGACTATGTTTGCTAATGGCACATGCAAGAATGCTCCATGGATGTGGCTGAAGGCGTCGACCGTCTTCGATAGCAAATGGAGTTGGGGTTCGGCGACACTGGCTTACTTGTATCGACAGGTATGAAGTTGTTTCCTTTTCACTTCATTGCTACATTATCAATGCGATCTTGCTGTTAATTCAAACATGTTCTATTTTATGTGCAGCTGGACGAAGCCTATTATAGACCATCTGGAGGTATTGGTGGTTGTATGCTTGCACTTTCCATATGGAGCTGGAAGCGTTTGCCAGTTGGACGACCGAAGACCGTGAAGTACGAGGATTGGAACGACAAAAACGACCCACTACGGCGCCCCACTTGGGCTTACAAGTGGGATGTGTTAAATGAGACGGCGGATGATCCGTCGGTCATGTACAAGTTGTACAAGAGCGAGCTGGACGCGATCACGCCTGAGCAGGTGAATCGACATTGCATAAGTGATTATCATGCTTTTATCGTAACTCGATATCAATTTTGCATTCTATCCCATTTTGCAGGTGGAATGGGAGCCGTATGGAAAAGGAGAGAGTTTTGGTAACCCTATAGAGTTCAGGCTGAATCCAATGTGCACTAGGGATAGGGATCTCTGGATGCCGATCCGATGTGACACAAATTTCCCTTTGAGCGGGTAACACCTTCATCCTCAAAAGACGCAAAAACCACTCCCAGTTGTCATTGTTCTCCACCTCAACTAGAGCAAATGCCAATGGCAACACCTAGTTACTGGCATCACTTGCTATTGCAACCAACAAGGTGCCCTTGTATTGTCCGGTCAAGAACATGCCATCAATGGCGATGACCGGCCTACAGTGTTCGAAAGCCCTCACGCATTGCTCGAACGCCCAAAATGCATGGCCAAATACTCGGACTTTCCTTCCTTCATGAACCGTTGTTTGGTGCCCATGAGGCTCGACCACATGAACCATGCCCGGGTTTGTCGCGGCCATGGCTAACAACAACCTAGGGATTCAGTTGTGTGCTTCCTCCCAAGTACCATACAACATCTTAAATGCGACTTGCTTCGCCTTTCATGCCTTGCCGTACTTCACCTTGTAATGAAAGATGGCTTTCACAAGGTCAATGACATGTTGGATGCTCATTGTTGGAAGTGTGGATATTGAGTTGGAAAGCTTGTAAGCGATGAACTCGTACATGAGTTGTCTATGGTCTTGTGACACAACCTTGCCATCCACCCTTTTGCCTCGGCACATGTGAGTTGGCACATAACTCACTACGTGCCAAGTGGGACCTCCTTTCAATGGTCTTGCACGCACAATCCATGGACATATTTCATCTTCACATGCACATGCAACCGTGTAGCGCACAATGACGTCCGAGTGCACCACCTTGTGTGGACGATAATGCGTAACCGAGTAGTTGTCAAGACACATCTTCAATTCCAAGAAGGTTTCGAATTTAGACCCTTTTGCAATCCGGTTCTTGTCATCTCCCAAATCACGATGAGAGCTTGGCCTAACCCCAATAGATATACATTGGTCACCACCTACCACGGCTTCATCCGCAAGACTAACATCCTTGAACTATGTAGTCCGATGATCCCGACCGAATACCTTCTCGAAAGCTTCGACCTCCTTTACCGTGAACCCCTCCGCATCAACTTGTTCGTCGGGACCATCATCATCCGAGTCCGATGCGTATGCACAGGAAAAAGGGATGTAATGGTCCATTGTCTCTTGCAAATGATATTTGTCGAGATCACCCACATTGTTGTCATGGAGATCAACTTCATTGTCATCGTCCGCATACTCATCATTCTCCTCTTGCAAAGCTTCATCTTGGTTGCTTGTAAACGGGCTCAATGTTGGCCTTACTTCTTGGGTCAAAAGAGGTTCAACAATTTCATCTCGCTTCAAGGGTGGGGGGCTACTAGCAACCAGAGGGGAGGGGTTCCGGTTCAAGTCCAAATGCAACCTTGAATCAACCTTCTTCGTTGCAAATAACTCAAGAGCCTTGTCTAGTGATTCGGCCACCGTTTCCTTGTATGCAACCCAACGTTGCTCCGAGTTGACACGCATTGTCTTCCAATGGATGTGCATTCCAAAACCTACATTATGCCTTCCCTCCAACTCAACGATATCACTAGGGTCCATCCAATTCAAATCTTTCCTCACTTGTTGCAACAGCTCTGCATAACTAGGACTACTATCAAACACCATGTCAAGCTCATGCGGGTCCGGTGCAATATTGCCTTTCAAGAACACGTCTTTGTCCCCATGATGAACAAACACACATGTTCTTCCCATCCCTATAAGCATTCAAACAACACAACGTAACATTGCTTCCATGAGTACTAATCCAAGGATTAACAAAGAATACAAACCCTAAAATATATATCAAACAACAACCCTAACCCTAACCCTAACCATAACCCTAGCCCTAAACCTAACCCTAGCATCAACATAAGAACACCCATAAGAATAACCCTAACATACTAACAAATCCTAATCATAGGAAATTGGCAAACAAACATCTCACATCTCCACGCAAATCTCTAGATCCAAACAAAACTAGGGTTTCCCCAAACTAGCAACAAATGAGCAAAATGATAACATTACTTGGATCAAAACAAGGGGATCAGAGAAAATTACCTTGAGGGAGGGTTTGACTTCGAAATTCACGGAAAAATTGCCAAATTTGCAAGATTTGAGAAAGGATTTGAGAGGGGGAGAGAGTGGGAGAGGGGGCAAAGCTCGGGTGTGTGGGGTGGGGGGAGTGGGGGAGGGGGGAGGGGGGCCAGCCGAGTGGCTGGATAATCCACAGTGCAACGTCCGAGCGCCAGGCGCTGCACTTTAAATGTGTGGCGCCTAGCTCTGAGGCGCTGCACTGCTGGGTGCGGGCCCAGGGGCTGCCATGATGGACAGGTGTGCAACGCCCCAGAGGTAGGCGCTGCACAGTAGGGTGTGACGCCTGCGTGACGGACGCTACACAAAAAGATCAGAGACGTGAAATAGTTTCACAGACAGTTCACTCTATGAATTGATTTTGTCCCGAGATCAAAATTGTCAAATTTGCCGAGTGAAGGTCAGATTTGTCCATTCCGCCAGGGACGCCCGGAATTCAGGGCCGAACTGCCGATCCCTGGACGGTGGGCGTTGTGCGTGGCATTGGATGCCCTTACCGATTTCGTTTCCCCCCTGGAACAGAAAACACAGCGCCACCACGCGGGAGTTCGCGAAGAGACGAGTGAAGAAGGCGCGGCCTCGACGGCGGCGCCGCAGGTTGGTCCCCCCATCTCCCGCCGCCTTCCTGCCTTCTCCTCCTATCTCCGTCCGCCCACCGCCCTCACCCCTCTCCTCACCGCCTCCCCCTAGCCCCCACTTGAACCCTAACCCTAATACCATCTATCCTAACTCCATTTTACAGTGAATATAACCAATTTCTCTGTTTTGCAGATTGATTCTATCTGTGCTTGACCATCCAGTGGGTTGAGGGTATGTGGTTTTTCTTTACATCTGACTATGTGATGTGCTGTAGATATTAATTTCTAACTAAAAGAAACTTTCATTATTTATATGAACTTTTTCATTCATGATGGCTGTTGTGATGGGGACATTCAGTTATGCTTTTATGAAGTTGTAATGCATGTATGAACTTGCAAAGTATACTGCTGTTTGTATGATCATGTATGATGTATCACATTTTTGCTGCTGTTATGGTAATGTCGCTGCCACATTTTTGCTGTTGTCTGTATGATCATGTATCACATTTTTCCTGCTGTTATGGTAATGTAGCAAGTAGCAACCATTTTTTTCCTCGTATGATAATGCCTGACTAGATTTTTGCTGCTGTTATGGTCTTGTAGCAGATTTTGACTGATCCAGTGGCAGCCCGCTCTCCTCACGGCCCCTCTTTCGCAGCCCTCCTTTCTTAATGGCTCCGGTTAGTATGTGCGTTTTCACTATTGTGATTCATCTATTTATTTGCATACTAAGCTAACCATAAACGAGTATTTAATTTTTAGGTTATTGATAAAAGGGCGGAGTTAGACACTGCTGTTGCTGGTTTCAGTGCTTCTCTCGCTCAAGTTGTGTCCATCACACCTAGCGGGACACCTGGAGCACCAGAATACAGATACAGGGTGGGCTTTGTTGTCTTTGCACCAGCAGGGAGAGGGGAGGTTTTTGTCTGTGTCTCGAAAAAATTGCTCGTTTCTACAAAACTTAAAAAGAAGGCTTCTTTTGGTGTACGATTCTATAATCATGGACACAAGGGTCCTGCTACTTTCCATTCAAACCATTTGGATTACCTTATTTTAAAGGTATCAGTCCAAGAGCACGTTCCTGCGGTTGCATTTGGTGATGTTGTTAGAAGCTCTGAGCTTATCCTAATATGCAAAGACAAAGCCGACGAGTGGAATACTTACAGTACAACAGTAATGTACGTGTGTTTTCTTGAACATGTGTGTGTGTTACTGCATCTCCTTTTACTAGCTTTGTTACTAATTATATTCTTTGGAATATTGTGAAGTATCCCACAGAATGATGCTTGTGCATTCGACGGGGGTAGGCCACCTTCTGTTGCTCTTAGTGAAGACTTTTTCACCATGGGCTTCCCTGTTCTCCCTGCCCTTGGTTTCGACAAAATCGATGGTGCTCCAGTATTTGATATGCATGGACTTTTTGTGGGATTAGTACACTCCTTTGCCACAGTGAGTAGGGACAACACACTAAACGATGTGGTGTTTGTACGCCGTGCCGTAAGATTTGGTGTGCCGGAATGTATGAGGTACACGATACTCAATTGGATACTTTGAACAATGTTTTTGTTGGTAATTTCAATTAATCATTGTTCATTCTAGGGTATGATGGAAGGGCAAGCTGTGTAACTCCAAGTTATGGATAAGGATAATCTTATAATAGGTTAGTTGGTTGTTTTGTACTATTATAAACAGTTGTTCAACTAAGCATCTATTTCCATTCTCTCTACTTTCTATATAATCCAATTGAACTGAATCTAGAGTGAAGTAATCTAAATTGGATGTAGATCACTACCAGTTCACTTGGATTGTTAAATTTATTTTTTATTACTGTTTGAATGCAAGAAAAAAAGACGGCTATGTTATGATGACCTCTCACTAGGATTATTGGTTTCAAGTTGGCATTGGACTCTAAAGTTGACCTTGATGATGATGATGTTGTGAAAGAAAATTTCATATTTATGTCCTACATTTAAGTTATGTTCCCAAATATTTGTGGTTTGTCTATTGTGACATGTCAAGTAATGCTAGTTGTTATTTGGGGTGCTTGCTGGGAGGCAATCTCAAAATGTAATCTTTGAATGAGACACCTATTACTACTATGCAATGAAGACTATGGGTGGTGACCCACCTCTCACATTAGTTTGCAATTAAGAGGGAGAAGTGATTTCCATGCTGTCTTGGAAATAGTCTTAATTCCTAGGCACAAAGCTTTCCAAAGCGACCATAAAATTAGCCATTATAATTGCCGGTGGTTAGCATCTCCAAGTGGGACAATTTAGCATAGAGGTTTCTGAAAATACTCTTTTATATTTCCAAAATTCTCATATTTATTTCATACATGATTTATAGGCCTTCCACAATATTGGAGTACTTCATCATCAAGGATTAAAGCCTTGTGTTCAGTGTGTAGGCAATAAGGATTTCCAAGAGATTTATAATAACTTGGGGGCATTCCGATAATGTCCACATGAGATGCCGAGTCTCTCTATGGCATGTGATCCATGACCTGGATCTTTTGTAGCATCATATGATGCCTAGTCACTTTGTGGCATGCTTTGAGTTTGACTAAAAGAATGCCTAAATGCCACATAAGATGGAGCAATCCATTAATTGGGTCTTTTGTAGCATGGCATGCCATTGCTAGTCACTTTGTGGCATGGCATGATGTCTCATTAGAGCAAGTCTAATAAGGCCTAATCAGCAGGCTATAGCATGTGCCAGGTCATCAAAATCCTAAGTGGAAGAGAGAGAAATGAGGAGAGAGAGCGAAGTGGGCGCTTAATCTGTTGCCTGGCTACAGCGCATGGTACGAGAAAATAGAGCCCGCTTTCAGCCCGTGCGAGAGGTACCCTCCTGCGCCAAATTGGTTTCCAAGGCACCAAAATTGTCTCCAAATTGCCACCTCCCAAACCTAGATGCCAAGCCTGCCGCCGCCGCCCGCTGCGAGATGGCGGGGTCCAAAAGAACAACTGCACCGACACCTCTGGAGTTCCCATGCCTGCCGACTCAGCTTGTCTGGCCGCCAACTGCTCAGCCCCTCCCACTGCTGGCCATCCCTTCCATCTTTGGACCCCACACCTGGTTACCACCGCACCCACCGCAGTCCATGGCAGTCTCCTCTCTACCGTGCTGGCTCAACGGGGTACAGCAACCATGAATGTCCGGTTCATATGATCAAGTCCCTTGATGGACACCTCGTGCTGGAATTGGAGGCTCTGCACAACCTAGACCCACGGCTAAGAGTATCGAGGGCTACGATTTGCAAGCATGATACGTGCTACTTGCTTCCACATTGGTAGTTTAATTTTATCTACATGATATGCTAACTAGCAAATATGCCCGTGCGTTGCAACGGGAGAAAAATATCCCGGATGCTCCTAAAAAACACAATGCATCTAAAATTATAAATGAAACTGAATTTTTTTTATGAGAAGCTAGCTTCTACCATGCCTCTATGCCAGCAAAATTTTGGGCCGTGTAAAGCATCTCTTTTGCAGGTAACCCAAACAAACAAAAGATAGGATGGCAGCTAAATCTATCAATGAATTCAGTTGCATACCTTTGAGCCCTTAAATAATAGTGTGTCACTTTTCTTAGATAGATTACCATGTGCCATCTTGAACTGAAACATCATCAAGCAAAACACAAGACAATGACAAGTTCCATTTATAGAAGAACAAAGAATAGTATACTGAACTAATTAGTATCAGATGAGCTTGCAAACCTGGATTGATTATCAACGCCGATTGCTTATCCATTGACATGTGTGTTGTCATCTGCCGACTTACCTACCAATATTAGACGCATCGATATTTTATTAGGCCAAGAGCTGTGAGCATGTCCATTAGTGGTAACAACACAAAAGAATTGATTGCCTCGTGACCTGTTTCATAGAAACCCATGCAAAGTCTTGTCTTGTGAGGTACCAGATTTGTAAATCTGAATTTGCTGCCAACCTTACCATATTGTGCATGTACAACTTCAAATCCATACAAAATATGTCAGTAAAAAAAAAGGAAATACATGTAGAAAGGATAACTGAATTTACAAACACTGTAGTCGATCCCAGTAATACACCTGTGCGAAATTCCCCTTCTGCATGCTACAATTCTCATGCATTCTTTGCAGATAATACAGTTATATAAACCAATGATATTCAAAGTTTCCAGTCCCCAAACGATTTACTGTGATACCTAAGAGTCAGGTCCAGCAAAAGAGACTCTGTGTCGGGTTATGAACCTTGCGTAAGTTCATGTTGTTTGTTTGATCTCTCCCTACTAAGCTCCTGCATGATGACTCAGCCTTTGCAGAGAGTTCTTTTCTAACAGCAAGGAGCTTCTCGATTTCACCAGGAAGATGCACAACCCTCAAAGGCTCATTTGATCCAACTTCAGCTTCAAGCTTCCCTTGTCAACATGCGCGCTGATATAAGCTTCTTTCTTGTCATTAATCTCTACGATGATCATGTTCAGGTGACCGATTTGCTCCTTTCCTTGGTAAATCCATCCGTTCTTCAGCTTTGTGCAGCATGACGATCAGCCATAAGCCTGTTGAATTCTACCTTGTGCAACTGAATTTCTTCCTCTAGAGCAGCCGGGTGAGAGCGAGGTAGACTTGGCACATGGCAAACCGTTTGGGCTAGAGTTACCAAATGTTCCTCTTACCTAGTGTTCCCGCTCAGTGTCGACTAGTCTATGAGTCACAACTTTAGTGTCGACTAGTGTCGATTAGTTATGCTTAGTCTATGAGTTTCAATCTCGGAACGACTCGTCGACTCGCAAACCTTGCGCTCAGATGGAAAAAGCAGGATGTGTAATTTTATCCATTAGCAGTAAAGGGGTGTACACTCGTCCTTGGTACCAGGGAGTCACTTTATCTTCTCTCCAGGATATAGCATGTTTCACATCCTCGCTTCAATGCAAATAAAACAGTACCAGTGGTCAACCCACTCTAAAGAATTTGTGGACATGCTTTTTCAATCTAACATACATAGACTTTGCAAAGCCTAAAGGTTACACAATAGCAGCAAGAACCTTATACATGACAGCATGGTAAGAACAGGGTGGGCGGACGTTTCTTAACTTCCCTTTGAATAGCTAGAGCATTATACTTCTAGAGTTGGATTGTATATGTCCTCATGTTTAATTGTTCCAGTGTTGGTTGCTGCAATCCCACTTACTCACTTAGTGGTCAGTATACACATATAATTTGTCTTGTTATAAACAATTGCTTTTCATATAAGTTGTAGCTCTTGACACCACTATTTCTTGATGTTAACTGCTGCTGCTTTATTTAATTTGCTGGATCTTTTGTACATGCTTACTGAATCATGAAAACATAGATGCTGGTGCCTTTTCTTGTAAACAAACCACGACACAAAGAGCTTGAAACTGATTATGTGCATTTTTTGTCTTCTTCTCTGAACAACGCATCACTCTATGGTGCATATCTTTTTAGCGGACGCAGCTTCAGTGACTTCATGAAGCCAAGTCTCACCATGACTTACCCCCCTTTATCAGCCATCCATTAAAGATCCGACATACCAGATTGACCCATATTCTGAACTGGAAATTTTAAAGTGTTCAGAGAAATTGAAAAATTCCAAATAAATCATAAATGTTTCGTATTGTATTATGTGAAAGTTTCAATCCATGTGGATGTATCGTTTATGAGTAAACATTTATTTATTTATTTGAGCTCAAAAGGCTATTTAATCACAAACCATACATCCAAGTGGGTTGAAACTTTCCCAGATTACAAAATGAAACATTTAAGATTTATTTGATTTTTTTAATTTTTTCTGAACACTTTAAATTTTTATTTCATATGGGTCAATCTGGTACGTCGGATTTTTAATGGATGATGATAAAGGGGTAAGTCAAGGTGAGACTTAGCTTCATGAAGTCACTGAAGCTGCGTCCCTTTTTAGCATGTTTGATTACATTGCCTATGTTTTCTTCTCTAGAAGCAAATAATCATTGTCCATAGAGAAAAAATGTGTCATCATCGTTTCTTTTTTCATTTGCAGAACCCATATACTACTTCTGGAGTATTATACTAACTTTTTTGTACTTTTCACCTTGCAGTGATACCGGTGACTGCTGATGCGGCTCCTTTCTGCTAAGATTAATAGATAATGCCTAGCTTTGCAGAGAGCTTATTTGGCATTAGTTTTAGTTAATGCTTTTGTTAGAAAGACTCGTATAGTGCTTAATTGTTGGTGTACATGAGCTTATGCGTGCAATTTTGCTTGGAAGTGGCGTGGCTGCGTGAGAGATTATTTTGGTTAATGCTTTTATTAGGAAGACTTCTATAACGCTTATGAACATTGCTGTTAGAAATCTGTTATTTGGTTCTTCAAAGTACTTTAATTAGCAAGTACTGTCTTCTCTGTCTTCGCTGGGATGACAACAAAATTTGTGAGCTGCGACAGGCCTAAGTATGAAACTCCTACAATTAGAATTACTGATATATAAATAGCTAAATTACTCAAGGTTTCCACTGCACATTGCTCGCACATGAAAAGGTAAACACTGCATCACATGTCTTTTTTGGTTTTGTGGAGACAAAAAGTATTCAGGCATTTCTCATACTAGATGGAAAAGAGATTATCTTCAATCGTGCACATAATCTTGCTGCCAGC